AATTTAATTTGGAATGTTTTTCAGCTGTGCTTAACCTGGTTTATGTTGTGAATTACAGATTCAAAAATAGCGACTGGACTGTTGCCAGAGAACTTATAGTGCCTTATTTGATTAACTGAGTGTACAGCTACTGATTTGTTGTCAGTGCTGCTCCCATCAACGATGACTTGCATTTATAGTGCCAGACTGTTTTATCTTTGCACCTCTGATGATCGCCTTACGCATTTGATGCATGTGTGTGCTGTTGGCTTTGTTGAGACTGCAGTCTGTGTCCAATTTTTCCCACAGAGGACAGAGAATGGTATTCAGCATTTTGTTTTTCTGTACTAGAAGGGAAAAGGCTCTAAGTACTTAGAAGAAAAAAAAGAAAAAGAGTTTGTCAGGCCGGGACTAGAAACATAAATATTCTAGCCCAGACATGAGATCTTTTGTATAAAGTCTAGGTAGCAGTAACAACTAAACTAGGCACACTAACCACAAGTCCTAATCTGAATCAAAACAACGAGCTGTGATGACCACATTCACCAACTGTTTATTTCACTGAACATAAGACAGTACTAAGCGCTGTTCACAGATAATACATTAACAACAACCAATGTGCCAAGCACTTCACTAATAAAATGAAATATCTCCGAGCCATGATACACACTTATATATCTCTATACAGTTTAACTACTAGAGACAAATTCAGGGCTAACTATAGAAAACGTACCAGCATTATCATCGTCAGCAAGCCAGACTAACCGCTCATCCCACGCAGTTGCTCAAACACATGCTGCTGAGCACATGCACCGACCGTGCATCAGCTGCTGGCTGAGCTAGGTCTTCTGCCTCTTGAGCGCCTGAAGGTTCAGTCCAGAAGCCAAAATGGGGTCGTTTTTTCCTGTCTGGTCCTTTTTATGCACAGTGGCCAGGTATTTTTCACAAGTGAACTCGAACCAAATCAAGGTATCCGTAGAAACTAAAATCACGTTAAATTCGTTGTAGCCCGCTTACATTTCTTTGGCACATGAACAGAGCAACTATAGGAATGACCCGTTTCCTGTAAGTTGGAACTGCAATGACCTTACTTTACATTGCAGTCATCTGCCAGCAGTTTTGTAGCTGACAGCTTTGTGTGGGTTTAGAAAGCAATAGGTACATAATCTTTTTTAAGTATGTTACAAAAATCAACAGATATTAACAAGATTACACACAATCACTTAACTGACATAATCTCTGATAAAAATCACATTTGTCTGGCGAGTAGAAAATCTGATATGTGTGTAACAAAAAATACTGGCCAGGAAAAGCGACAGATGTCAAGGGTCTTAACTAAAAGATCATCATCATCATCATAATCACTTCTACCGTTAAACGTCGTGGGGAGGAATAAATTTGTATCCAGTGTACGCTGGGTGCCACTGGCTATTGTCATGCCGTGAAGGTGAAGAGCATCTAATCACAGAGATGAATCAAGGCATATACTGTCTGCAGCAGTGACCCGCAAGGGCTCGGAATGCCGAAGAAGATGGGTAAGATAAGGAAGTCGTATAGTGAAGTGCACCAAGTGGTGAAGGATATGACAGCTTCGTGCAGGCTGGTTGAAAGCCTGTGATCCAGGGGAGGAGAGGGGGGGGGGGGTAGAGCTAAAGAAGCAGACCTTTTATTGTAGATAAAAATGGGATTAGTAATAAGAAAGTATTATCATCACAGCACTCCGGACAGATCCATAGGCGCCTCGATCTTCTCAAAAGCTCCACAAGTGTAAAACGTCCGATGACGCCTGTTCTGTGCTGGTTAATGAAACGTCTTGTCCCCTTAGTGAAATATTCATTTCTTGTAGCTCCAGGCTGCACCCCATGTCCATCAGTCTGGACATGGATACGGAGTCATGTCCTTTGGCGTGCTTCTCGGTAAGTAAGTGCAGCGCATGGCATTGATAACATTACCTCTGTCCAGTACTGGGCCAGCCATGGCAGCTGCAGTGTCAGCAAAATAGTCTGCATGCTCGTTCCCTTGAGCACCCGCATCACCTGGCACAAAGATGGTTAGGGCAGATATCCGTGAAGTGCTTAGTGTTGCAATCCATTCTTGCCTGATAAATACAGCTTGGATTTTTTAAAGCCTATTCATCGAGTCACTAAGAATGCATGCGTGTGTGAACTTTTGAGCACTAAGCCCTTGTTACAGCCATAGTAGTTTCCATTGTAAGGCTACTAGTTGTAACAGCAAAGGGGCCATTCATCTCCTTGATGGTTCTTCCACCCCCTTTGAGCTTACTACGAAGGCCCTTGCACTTCGCTTGCCCCTAATTACTGACCCATCTGTGTAAACTACAACATCACCTTCATCTGTGTTTTCGTTAATTAATGTTCTGACTAAAGTGTCAACAATGCCAGGAATAAAAACGTGCCGCTACCCACCGCCACAGTGTCTAAAATCAGTGCCAGTTTTCACCACAAGATGTCCAAAAAGTGTGTCCCTTGCCTAAACCTTTGACAAATTTAGGAAGATGTCAAGTACAGCTCCCCTCAACACTGCCACGTGTAAGGTTGCTGCACAGGACCGTTCTGGGTGGCGTAAATCCCTCAGGCAAGGTGCATCAGCCTGCCAGGCAGTGCAGGTAAGGAAACGGAGGCATACTTGAAAGAACCGCATCGCTACTCAAACATTTACTGCGGCTTCAACCTGTTGTCCGCACTGTTCCAGCACTTTCCGTGTTTATTTTCGACTAAGCAGCCTGTTTCGCAGTCATAATCATTGATTATTGCTAACATTGGATGAAAAGTTTTCTTCATCACTCGTGATGAATGAACAACACACACATTACAGTTGCGCTGAAAGACTGACGCCTAAATAAAAGAAAGTCGTTACTGCGTAACCCCCCTCCCCCTCCCACCCCCCCCCCCCCCCACACACACACCAAAAAAATCAAGAAAATATTTTAGCAAGCTTCACAGTATAACAAATACAAACAAAACGTGAACATTGCAGCTATTTAGCCTTCATCAGCACATACAAATGAAACGTTGAAAGTATATTACAAAATAAAAAATAACAACCGTTATTATGGACGAGTGGGACAGGTACAAATAGACAGCAGTTCTCGGTAGGCGGGACACACGATGTGGGTGAGATTAATAAACTACTGTGAAGCTATAAAAATATCAAGAAAAGATATAAAACCGAACGAAAAGTATATTAGCAAGCTTCACAGTATAACAAATACAAACAAAACGTGAACGTTGCGGCTATTGAGCCTCCATCAGCAAATACAAATGAAACGTTGAAAGTACATTAAAAATAAAAAATAACAACCGTAATAATGTACAATATGAACGAGTGAGACAGGTACAAACAGATAGTAGCAGTTCTGGGCGGGCGGGACACGAGGTAAAAAAAAAAGTCTTGCCATCGAGGCTGCTGCCTAAAGTGTTTGACCCCCCCCCCCCCCTGTGACTGCAAGAATCTCAACCAGAATGTCAAACCAGCAGGGCAAATCCCAGCAGTTGTAACTGTGGCAGTAGCGAGGAGTGATCAGTTCGCAAGTGTAAGCATTAGTAGGCAACGATTACAGGGGAGAGGGTATTACGTGATATTCTCTCCCTCGTCGCTTCGCTGCCGAGAGCATGTGTGTGCAGCCATAATCATTGTACTAGTAACTGGTACCACACGATATAGTTTCTGCATGAATAACGTAAGCATACAGAGAGTGTTCCCCCTATGATCGAAGTTTAAACAGAGTGCCGTATTTGTAATAAATAGTAATAGTAATAAAAGAAAGTAAAATACTGTAGTTTTCTTTGGCAATAGAAAGCATAAGATGCTTTTACACCAGTTACATGCAGGTCTCACAACTCAATTGGAATATCCGTAGCAGCCAGACTACTTGGCGTACACTAGTTCTTTACTGACTGAGACTTGTCAGTTATGACATCTGCGATCAAGCAGATGCTGATGCTATATCATACAAGAGGTAGACCAAGAACCATATGGGAAGATAACATCAAAGAAACTCTACCGCATCACGATGTGTCTGTTTGCGAAGCAGCCAGAAGAGCACAAAGCAGGACCTTAATTCTCTCTCGACACCCGAAGCGGTGAAAGAGGAGGTAAAGCAGAAGAGGATCAGGCAGAAGGATAGGTTGTATCTCATTGAAACAACACAATCCAATAGCAGCAGGTTGTATACGCCCTGAATGGGTAGAAAGTATTCGAAAATGGCAGTTAACCTCCTCACCTGGATCTGCACACCTGATCATGCTGGCGTAAAGGGTAATGAACGAGCGGACTGACAAGCAATGCATGAACGCATGTGGGAAGAAGCATGGACAGACCAGAAATCAAGCTGTACAGACTGGGCTTGTGGATAATGACGAATTTATGATACTATCACGATTGCGTGATATGGGAGTAAAGCACGGTGAAGGATGTCTATGCCGCCTTCGAGGCAGAGATAGGATAAATTATAACGAACCTCTCAAGGGAACAATTAGTATAAGTAGCCTACACTGGAGTGGCTGCCTGGGACAGATCCATTACGACGTGTTGAGGTTTCGATGCCCGTGCACTACATCGCAGCGACACTGTTCTTTCGAATAGCACTGTGCGATCCAGTTGACCCATTTTGTTTCTATCTGCATATGCAACATCAGTCTGGTGAGCATGATGTACACATCTTTTAAGTCAATAGCAGCTGCAGTCGTTTCCATTTCATCGTGGAAACTCTTGTATATGCCATAAGTAAATCCTGCAGCATTGCACCATGTATCTCTCCCCAGTCGGTAACCACCTAGTGAAGCGGGGAACAGACCATCTAACTCTAGTGTTTGGGTCAAAGTTCTGGTCATGAGTTTTACTATTGTTCTGGGGTGTGATGGTTTCAAAGCAATTTATTACCGCGTGGAGAATCCGTGATTTTAGTTTTAGAAGTGGTGGTTTAACGAACTTTACCGCAGACTTACCGCCACAAGATGACCGAAAATTAACTAAATATATGACGCGGCTTACCTTCCAAAATGGCCGCCGAGGGTGAAAACGTGACTGAAAGTGGAGCAACTCCATCAACTCACCCAACGTCTGAAACATCAAAGCTCAATTCTTTCACTTTAGAAGGTAGTAAATACTTTTTAAAATTGAAACTATCATTCTGAGAGTTTCTAGATAATTTAAACAGCGTTATATGGTGTCTCAACTGTCTCGCTCTTCTTCAGCTTTTAACTCTGCAGAGAACCGACACAGACTGAGAACATGATGTAAAGTGAGTGACAGTTTGATTAATTTTCCCAGAAAAAAATTTAGAATCAAAGAATTGCCACCTTACAACTGTTTTCAGCCAGCTGCTTTTTTAAATAATACCTTACATGTTTTAGGTTAAGTTTTTTTTTCAACAAGTTTCCCTTTTCGCGGGATCAGTTTTTTAACGCAATGTTTAGGTTAGCATCACCAAATAATTGTGAATTTAGCTTAGCCGCCGCCCCTCATCGGGATAGTGATTTGAAATTTGTCGAGCTTGCACAAAAACTAAGATAATAGTAATACACTGCACAGTTTGAAATACTCTCTTTACAATAATGATACTTTTAATCTTTTCTCACTACTGTAATTTTTGTTTGTATATTTATTGGAAAACATGATGAACGACCTGAACTTTCCGCTGGTGTTAACAGCCAATGAACCTGAGTAGGAAGCAGAAGATACACATGCACCCACAAATATGCACACACATATATATACATGCATATTGATTGATTTATTCCCCAGCTTTACAGCTTATAAAGGATGCTCAGTTGCAACATGGGCTCAGGCATGGTGATTACCAGAGGTATAGGTGAGTCCTATTTTCATTCCTTGTTGAAAACTATACTCCAGACAAGAGTTACAGAAAAGTGACTAGGAGGCTGATAACGACACAGGTGAACAGTCGACACCACGGCCGTTCAACTGGCAGACCCCAAAGACCTAGCCAATGCCCTATGGATCACATGATAATTTAAAAAAATAAAAAGTAAAGGTCCCTTTTCCTCGCCTTTAGGGCATATAGGGCTACACCTATATTTTAGAGACCAATCGACACAAGATGGGTGATGTGGTCAGCATCACGCCAACCACCTTTACTCGCCGGGACTGCATCTGGTACGAACTCAAGACTGGGTCGACCTGGGCATGCTAATTTTATTGTATTAATAATCTTTCTATGCTGCAGCTCGGGCCCCTGGCCCACAGTGATCCAATATTTTGTCCCCTGTGTAAACTTAAATCATTGGCCCTGGCCCACAGTGATCCAATATTTTGTCCCCTATGTAAACTTAAATCATTGGCCCTGGCCCACAGTGATCCAATATTTTGTTCCCTGTGTAAGCTTAGATCATTGGCCCTGGTCTACAACCAATCCAATATTTTGTCCCCTGTGTAAACTTAGATCATTGGCCCTGGTCTTCAACCGATCCAACATTTTGTCCCCTGTGTAAACTTAGATCATTGGCCCTGGTCTTCAACCGATCCAATATTTTGTTCCCTGTGTAAGCTTAGATCATTGGCCCTGGTCTTCAACCGATCCAATATTTTGTCCCCTGTGTAAGCTTAGATCATTGGCCCTGGTCTTCAACCGATCCAATATTTTGTTCCCTGTGTAAGCTTAGATCATTGGCCCTGGTCTTCAACCGATCCAATATTTTGTCCCCTGTGTAAGCTTAGATCATTGGCCCTGGTCTACAACCGATCCAATATTTTGTCCCCTGTGTAAGCTTAGATCATTGGCCCTGGTCTTCAACCGATCCAATATTTTGTCCCCTGTGTAAGCTTAGATCATTGGCCCTGGTCTACACTGTGATCACACACACATGTAATGTTGAGAATAGAAACTGGATACCTTGACTACAAACACATTCATTGTGTACCCTAGATGATCCAAGATTATTGGTACTAAATAAGTTATTGCATGATGAGGAATTCTTCTTCTTCTGCCTTTCTATCCCCAAATGGAGCATAGGCCCTCAACCAACTCACGCCAAGTTGTTCTATCCTTCGCCATTGCATGGAGCTCTCCCCATGTCCTCCCAATCGTTCTAACCTCATTCTCCAGCTCTCTTCTCTATGTGTTTTTTGGCCTTCCTTTATTCCTATGCCCCTGTGGGTTACAATGCAAAGACATTCTAGTTATGCTGTTCTCCTGTTTTCTCAGTGTGTGCCCTATCCAATGCCAGCGTCTTTTCCTCACCTCCTGATCCACTGGAGCTTGATTAGTTCACTCCCAAAGTTCTACATTAGTTATTCTATCATACCATTTTATTCCCTCTATTCTGCACCGGCACCAGTTAATGAATGTCTGTAATTTATTAGTAATTGCCTTGGTTGTTCTCCATGTTTCCGCCTCATACAATAGTACTGATTTGACATTAGAATTAAAATTTTTTAGTTTAGTATTTCTTTTAATTTCTTTTGACCTCCACAAATTCCCTAGTGCTATGAAAGCCCCTCTTGCCTTTTGTAATCCTATTTTAATATCTCTATCAGTTCCTCCATCTTTATCTACATTACTGCTTAAATAGGGGTACGACTCCACGTCTTGGAGTGGGGTGCCATTAAGAGAAACCACATTACTATTTGCCTGATTTATTCTCATTATCTTTGTCTTTCCTTTATGGATTTTCAGACCAAGCTGCTGTGATCTCGTATTAAGTATATTTAATTTATCTTGTATCTGATTCCGTGAATGGGAGAGAAGAGCAATATCATCAGCGAAGTCCAGATCATCAAGCTGTTTTGTAGGGGTCCACTGAATTCCATTCTTGGTGTTAGCAGTTACTGTTTTCATAGTCCAGTCTATAGCCAGTAAAAATAAGAGAGGCGACAAAAGACATCCCTGTCGCACACCTGTTTTTATTTCAAATGCATCTGTTAGCTTTCCCTCATGAAGAACTCGACATTTCATGTCTTTATATGTTGCCTTTACTAAGTTGATAATTTTCTGTGGATAATGAGGAATAGAGGACATTTAATGGTGTGACATGTTGGTTTTACGGATCCTCATGCAAGACTCCCGTCATAAGTCTGTATCGTGCATCAAAGATAATATTGTATATTTGCCCAAACCGAGCTGGCAGGAAATCTTGGATTAAGGTAGCCCTCAGAGATGAAGTGTCCAGGAAACCTATGGCACTTATCAGCCCACCCCTAAAACATGGTTGATAACGGGCGTTGAAAAAACTCATACGGAATATGAGTGGAATCCACTGGCAGAGGTTCCTCTAGAAGACACATTCTGTTTAAAATGTCTATCATCCTAGAATCCTACTCAGTGGCATCTGATTTTCAAATGTCATTCCATTACGTGTCATACTAAATAAATGACAGCCAAAATTCAGATATCTGTCAAAGTATCTACAAAATGACACAAAAGATTGAAATGTCTGTTACCATTGGCCACACTGATGGAATGTGATGACCATATTGTATTTATAGAGTGCTGAGGAAGGAGGAACACTGGGTGCATGTCCTGAGTGTCTTAATACAATTTTTGTTAACCAGTAACAAAGGGAAAATTTGCAGGGTTTAGGCAGTGACTTTTTGTGTTTTTCTCATTCAGGGGTTATTGCTCAAGAAGGATTAAAAGGATTAGGAAGTCACTGCACTTCCCTCAGGGCACCAGGAACCGAGTGACACCCAAGAGAATCACACCAGAAATGCTGACTGATGCAAGGTATGCTCATTTTGGTATTTTCTAGTATATTCCCCTATGTGGGGGAAGTCAGAATGCATCTAATTGCAGCAGAGAACCTTTGCATACAAATAAGTGAGATATGTAAGATGGATGTGCACACATAACCCAAGTACTGGAACAAGACACAATTCCACAGGTGGACAAACTGGAACTTTTTGCCAGAATTTATAGCTAGGGAATGCAAAGAGGAACCACAATATTTGTAAGACAGGAAGTGAAAAAATCACTCAAAAGAAACCTGAACAACAAAGCCACAGAAATTGGAAATATCCCAAATCGAAGCGATCAAGGATTGTAAGGAAGTGGGTGTGAAATAGTTAACAGTTATCCTTAATCAGTTATGGCTATACAGAAAGGTACCAGAAGATTGGGAAAGATCTGTGATTGTGCTAGTATGGGGAAAAAAAAGACCAGCAAGAAAGAATGTGATCAATACAGAGGCATATCTCTACTTAGCCGCATAGGAAACCTTTATGCAAACCTTTTAGAAGAGTGACTAAGATATAATGTGAAACCGTCACTAAATAATTATGTTTCCCTTTAGAAAATTAAAGAGGGTGCCACTGACACCATTTTTACATTGAGGCAGATGAGTATAACAATGAACTAAACATGGCTTTCATTAAGAAAAAGGCCTTTGACCGAATAAATCGAGGCAAGCTATTGTAAATGCTCAAAGAGTACAGTGTAAATGGACAGTTGCTAGACAATTTTAGAGCTGTGTTTCATCTGGGGTACCACAAGGGTGTGTACTGTCACCACTCTACGAGGGTGTGAACTTTCACCACTCTTGTTTGTTTTCTGTATGTATAAGAAAGCTAAAGAAGCAAACCCCTAGCAGGAGGATATGAATGAGGACATCTGCAGACTATCACGCCTTATTACACAAAAACAAGGATAACCTCCAACGCCACATAAGCAGCCTAAACAACTGCTAGAAATCTGATATGGAAATATAAGTACTGAAAAGACAGAAATAACAACAGTAAACAGTACACCAGTTCAGTATAACGTCACTGTTGATGGAGAGACATTGAAACACGCAAAGTACCTAGGCAGTGTATTCACAGAGAATGGAGGATTGAACAGAGACATAGAAAACAATGCAAAAGGCCAGCAACATAAATTACCAAATAGCACCACTTTTGAGGCATCAAAATCAAAATATCATCATGCACAAAAATGATAAATTAGTTTTTCTAGCTTTGTGTGCCGTCAGGACAGTACTTGAAAAACATAAATGAAAATTGCAGCATGTGAAATGAGGTATAAAAGAAATGTGGAAGATAGAGTTACCAACGGTAAAACTAAGCACAAAGGTTTAGGCACAATACCCGTAAATGATTTCCTACACCATCAGACAGTCAAATGGTTTTTTAGTCTGGTCAGAGTAGAACAGAATCAGGCAACACCTAGAGCATACTACATGAGAACAGCAGGTTACAAGCTAAGAAGCCGGCATGGTGACAATTGTAAACTAAAGTGGTTTGAGTCATTTATTGTTTAAAGAAGAGGGTCTCCATTGTGAAGTTGTTAAACTATTTGTCTTGCACATTCCCCATTGGGTTCTGGGCAACACCTTACCCCACCCCCACCAGCATGTCTTAAAAGGTGACTAATCACTGGTTAGCTAACCCAGATGTGTTGGTCCAAAAGGTGCAGTTATTGTCTACTGTAAACTGCAGCACAGTGTGCCAACTGTTCTGTTAAGGGTAATTGCAGAACAAGTGCATATATTATTGTAGACTCTGTGCTTGAATTCAAGGGTACAGGAGATTAGGAGATCGCTAGTTGTTACTAGAGCTGCAGACTTATTTGCTTTGTGCAATATTTTTGGTGGATTAACACAACAGCTGCTTTGGAGAGAGAGAGAGAGAGACTCTGGATAGAGAGAGAGAGAGAGAGAGAGACACTGGAGAGAGAGAGAGAGAGAGAGAGAGAGAGACTCTGGATAATAAAGTAAATCCCTTTGTCTTGCCTTTGACAGCTTATTAACTGTCACTGTTATTGAATCACTTCTGAAGGTACCTGCAGCTGCCGTTGTTCTGTGCTGAAAGGGCCTGGTCATACGCCATGCAGCTGAAATCTGAGGCCAACACTGAGCCTCGCAAGAAGTTTCACATGAAGGCTAAGCTAAAGAAGGCTGTGGTCTACTCAGAGGACCTGGAGTTGATTGGCAACAGTGATAAATGTGATGCACGTACAAAACTGGAATGTCAGGTAGGCTGTTCATTGTCCTCTTTATTAACAAAGTTAGAAGAAAAATAATTAGTTTTCTTCAGTTTTCAGGACTTTTGAAACTAACCCCAGCATTTATTGGCTGTTGTGTAGCTTGCATGGCTTTCCTTATTTGTGTGTTCACTGAATGTAAACTGGCAGAAAGTTCTGGTTGTTCATTCGTTTTTGGGCTTTAGTTTTGTTCCAGAACGTGAGTTTTGCATGCACATCTATCTTACAGAGTTGGTTTATTTGTATGCAGAATGCCTCTCACCTGACCTTAAAGAAACACCCCTAATTAGTTTTCCTTTTACATCATGAATGTGGGGGCGGTGGGTCTAATGTTTCATTGGGGGGGGGGGGGGCAGAACGACCCCTCGATCCCATGCGAGAATCTAATGCATTTGTTTGTTCCATTACTTAATACAAATGTTAAAATTGAAAATAATAACTTGTGAAACTTTTATTGCGTTCTGGATTTTTGTGTTTTTTGTTTTGTTTTTTAGGCTTTTGCCAATCAGTTTCACAATAACAATCTCAGATTAATGAAAAAATCTGACTTGAGGGGGTTCAAAAAATGTAATCACTAGGCTGGCAAATCAGGGTGCTAGATAGGCATTGTGCTCCAGTGACTTTCATATGGAAGAATTCTTCTTTTTCTACCCTTTATTCCCCAGTGGACCATAGGCCCTCAAACAACTCATGCCAATCATCTTGTCCTTTGCTATCGCTTGCAGCACATCCCATGTCCTCTCCCATCTTTTTGACTTCACTCTTTAGTTACCTTCTGCCTATGTTTTTTTGTCTACCTTAATTTCTATACCCTTGTGAGTTCCTGTTTACAGCCTTTCTAGTTAAATTGTTCGCCAGTTTTTCTCAGTGTGTGTCCTATCCAACACCAGCATCTATTTCTCACCTCTTGATTCAGTTGAATTGGTTCAGTTCTCTCCCAGATCTCGGCATTAGTGATTCTACCATACCATTTAATTCTAAATATTATGGCCAGGCACCAGTTAATGCAGGTTTGAAATTGTTTTAAATTTTCGTGTTTCCTCTCCATACAACAGTAACTGGTTTGACATAGAGTTAATAATTTTAGGTTTAGTATTTTTATTCCCTTTGACTTCTACAAATTTCCTAATGGTATGAAAACTTCTCTTGCCTTTTGTATTTTCATTTTAACATATCTATCAGTTCCCTGATCTTTATCTACAATTATGACAGAATAGGTGTATAACTGCACGTCTTGGAGTGGGATATTACCAAAAGAAATTAGACTACTGTTCTGATCAAATTGGAAAACCATAATTATACTCTAAAGATAATTTGCAGATAGATTCTAGTATAGTAAAGACAATTTATAGACAAGTTCTAGGATAGTTGAAGATAATTTGTAAAGAGGTTCTGGGATAGTTAAAGATAATTTGTAGAGAGGTTCTGGGATTGTTAAAGTTAATTTGTAAAGAGGTTCTAAACACATTTTAGGACAATTAAAGGTAATTTATTGTAGATTCTGTGATGGTTAAAAATAATCGGTAGAAAGATTCTAGGATAGTTAAATAAAATTTAACTTTGTAGACAGATGTGAGTCTACCAATTTGTTGACTAATTTTATTATAGGCTTACAATGCCTGGATCAAGGGCAGTCTTGAATTTGAAACTGAAAACTGGGAGAAGGCAGTGGAATACTACACCAAAGCAAAGTAAGATATGCTGTTGTGGCAGTGTGTGTGTGTGCCTGTCATTTTATATTCCTTTTTGTTTCAGAAATCAGTATAGAAGTGGATGTTCTTTATGATTAGTATTCATATATAAAATTAATGAGTCTTTGTTTATAAAACTTAATTGTAAAGAGTAGACTGTAATTGGCCATGGCAAAGGCAAAACAAGAAGCATTAGAAAAGCTGCAAATAGAATATTTTTATGACTCAGTATGGCATAGAGGTCTTCGTAATGTGTATCATTTGCAATTATAGAAAACTCAAGCAAAAGTAGGAGCACATCTTTTTCACTTGCAGTGCTATGCTGTCTTTGTTCCTAGGTGTATGTTTATATTCAGGGTTCCAACTTCATCACACAGGGGTCATCTCCACAGTGCCTGCTTTCATGTGTCGGTGAAAACAATTCAAAATGCCCATCACTGTCCCATGTGAAAAGTCTCACAAAAACTGCTGGCAAAATTCTACAGCTTGCACATGCATCATGAGGCAGCCACAAGAGGTGCCAAAACCAACAGCCTGTCACAAGAATTGCTTTTCCTAGTTGATTAAAGCAGCAGTCAAAATAAACCAGCAGGTGCACATGCATTACTGCAAAAGGCACACCGACAGTTCTGTATTGGCCAGCCACTCGCCAATTTCTAAATGTACAGACGACAGCACACATTTCCAGCAGCACAGAAATACATATCTCACAGTAGCTGGCCATGAAGCAAGATTTCGCCTTACCTTACCTGCTATCCTGTTCATGTTTTTGCTGGCACTTAAAACCCCAACCTTCCACTGGAAGAACAGGGTCCATGACCCTGTGAAGGTGAGTTTGGCTTGAACAAGAGAGGCTTACCCTGTTGCCCTGAGAAAGCCGTTTTCCCGGCATTTGCACTTTTTATGGGGGTGGGGGGGGGATGACATGAACTCTGCCAGTAGCCACTACACGTATATAACGGCTTTGGTACTGGTTGCATCTGCATAGTATGTATACGTGGTGTGTAATTATATTACGTACACACACAAATAAATATTATTTGAGGTGTAAAAATCTAATTTCCTAAAATTGTAGCATCATCGCTGCATCATGACAGTCTCATTATATCATCACTATGCTGCTTGTGCCTAAGTCAACCAAACCATGTTTATCATGGTCAAAGGTATGGAAAACAATTAATGTTTTGCTCCTGTTGTATTCAGTGATTAATTACCTCACTGAACTTTTGTGTGTGTGTGTGTACACAAAGATAATAATATTTTAAAAATTAATAAGAATTAGTTTGGGGACTCGTTCGCGAGGTAGCCGTGGACTTCACACTTGTCTGTCTCCTGAGTAGCCTTGGGCTTTCAACCCCTGAATGTTTGTTAAAACTGCCCAAAATTTATTCTGTTTCTTCTTCTCTTCCTGTATTTTTTTAGGGTAGAGTTCTAAGAGAATTATAATGATGAGTTTTGCAAAGACAAAATTCTGAGAGAAATGTTTTTTTTTTTTTTTAAAGTTTCTCTTTGGGGCGAAATGTTGTGTTGTATTGGCCATTGCTCCATCAGGACGCTGGGTGCTCTGCTCCCTTTTTGTTTTCTGTTGTTAAGTTTATTCTTCACGTTCACTGGCTGTAACTCTGGCAGAAAGCTCTGATTGTTGTCCACCTCTGGACCTTAGTCTTGTTCCTGCATGCGCATCCATTTTACTGTTTGTTCTTGTTTGCCCTCAAATGGGGCCTCAGAACCCACAGACGAAGTTTCAGATAAACATACTTTGTCTAAATAGTTATTTCACTCTATTTTGTCCCACAGAACTATTTATGAAAGTCTTGCAAATGCCTTCTCGGAGGAGCTTCAGGCCATTTATCTACAGAGGGTAGATGAAATTGCACCCAACCTGCGCTACTGTGCCTACAATATTGGAGATGAGACTGCACTGCAAGACCTTCAGAAGATGAGAATAGCAGCAGGAGAAAATCAGCTGTCCTTTAAATTGGATGTAAGTTACCAGCCAGTTTTGTGTTACCAAGACTTATAAGTAGGGTGACCATAATATCTCGAGCTGAAAACGGGACACACAACTAATATTTAGAGCTAAAAATGGGACATCCTAAGAGAGACAGCTTTTACCCAAAACCCATGATTCTCATCACCGTTGTGAAGTGCCTTGTTGACTGGCATGGGTGATCATGCCTCTCCACAATCTGCGATCCACAACTGCATGTATCCGTTCCTGTGTTGATACCCACTCCCTGCCATCATGAAAGGCTGTCAAGAATCTTCTCCTGCTGTCTTCTCTGTCTCTCTTTCCACAAATCTTTCCATTGGTTACATGTTCCATGTTCCCTCTTCTCATAACCTGACCAAAAAAGGATGACTGTCTCTTTCTGATGTTTAAGTAAGTTGTCTTCGAGCACCTGCATCTTTCAAAACATCTGGGTTACTCTTCTTACTTATCTTAGAATTCTTCTGTCAAACCACATCTGGGAGGCCTCATGATATTGTTCGGCTTATTTATTGTCCATTTTTCACAGCTGTATGTTAAAACCGACTCCTGGCGAGAATTCTTTTCCAAACATCCAGTGGCATGGATTTATTGCGCAAAATGTTCTTCATTCTATAAAAGGCCTTATGATTCTAGAATTGATTATTATTAAGGAGCTAATAGTTAATACATTTTAAGAACATGAGAATATATAGGCATATAAATTGTAAAAGCCATACTAAATTAATTCATATGAACACTTTTTTTGTATGGTTGGATTGTATGCTTTGTTTTTGTTTGCTTCACTAATATAGTATACAGAGCTGTGTGTTTTCCATTTCAGTTTGAATAGGTTTATAAGTGTATGTTCCACTCTCAAGCTTATCCGTAGATTAAACAAATATAACACCTGGACGGTTGACATTATTTGGGAGTACCACTGGGACACACCAAAATAACTGTCCTGGTGAAAACAGGACGTATGATCACGCTGCTCGTAAGGAAATTAGTTTATAGCACACAAAAAAAGATTTCTATTGGGTGAAAGGGTTAAGGGGTTAAATTGTGCATCATTGCTCCATTAGATTCCGAGAAGGTCTACTCCCATTTTATTGTCCATTGGTATTACTGTAACCTGCCATGCATGTCATAAGAGGCAGTTAGGATAGCTTGGTGTGGGAATGACTACCTCATAAAGTAGAGAAAAAATATAGCTGAACAATCCAGCTAATCGAAAACAAGTCTGTTAAGGGTCTTTCTCTGAGTTGGTTGGTCTGTGTGGATTCCATTGGAAGATGGTTGTTGGAAGCAGAAGAAGCTGGTTGTCGGAAGCAGAAGAAGCTGGTAATTCTGTAATTAACTTTTGAAATATCTTTTCTTAGCCGGGATATATAGGTTGCATGATGTCAGTGGGCTTCACTGTTCATCACTGTTGGGACCATCGAAAACCAAGACGCAGTGTCACTTCTGCAGACTGTGTTGCTCAGATTTTGACAATGGTGTGAAGAGCTGACCGTTAAGAAACATTGGTAGACTACTTAATGTAAACTTTCCTCGTAGAAAGCATAAACATCTACAAGTGCTGTGGTTGATTTTTAGTGTCCTGTAAAAAATACTGTGCCTCTGTAGACTGGCAGGAGGACAATGACTTCTTCCACAGGGCCCTGGAAATGCTGGACTTCTTCCGACTTCAGCGTTACCTCAAACACATCTTATCTGCTGCCTTTCACCAGTCACAGTCTGTCAGTTTTATATCTTTCAATGATATAGACGTTATACGTAACTCACACATTATACACAACTCACTCACTTGTATTTATTTCCAAATTGCTTATCCCACCTCTTGACCATTGTCCCAGACAAGTGATAGTATACCCCACTGTTCCTCATGCGGGTTGTATTGACTTTTTTCTTAAGAAAGCAAGAATTGACCCACTCTTCCCCTAACAAGAATGTTATAATAGTGAACTAATTAGGTCTTTTTACCTTCGAAGAGTGTATCTGCCTGAGGAACCAGTAGTCTGCATACAAATAAGCTAGATCTGGATATACAAGCAGAACTCAGGTTCTGGAACACCAAAGTCCAGAAGAGTATGAACAACCAGAACTTTCCACCAGAGTTTACAGATGGTAATCACTAAAAAGAAGAATATACCTCACCCTGTTCTGGTTGTTGAACAAATGATGTTTTTTTTTTATAGCAGATTTTGACGGTGACATAAGTGTTGCACCTTTCAGAAAGCAGTGGCAAATTACTAAATGTAATATTGCTGGTAAAACCACAAACAGCCAGTCAATAATAGGACTTATTTGTTGTGTTTGATGCCCAGAGAGGGTGCTGCGGTTAACTTTGCTATGCTTTTGATATTTTCTCCAAGATCCTTTGTCACAAACAAGGGAGAAGCCAGAAGCAGTGGCATACTTCTTCTTCTCTTCAACCTTTTACCTCATCGAAGTGTCGAGGGGAGATGTAATGTTCGTTGATGAGCTCTGTCAAGAGCACTATTAAGACTGATGTTCATTTCTGTAAGGCTGTTCTTAATGCCATCACTCCATATTTTCTTCCACTTGCTCTATACCAGTTGTAACGTTTTAGTGTGGCTCGCTGTGGTGGATAGTACCAGGGCATTCTTGTTAGGTGTCCAAACCACTCCATTTGTTGTTCTTTGATGACCTGTAAGACTGGCTTTATTCCTAGCATTCGTATGATTTCATGGCAAACTACTGAATGTAAAATTGCTAGTAAAACTACAAACATCTAATGAATGATTGGATTTATTTTGTAGTCAGTGTCCAGAAAAGGGTGTGCGGCTAACTTTACTTTGTTGATTATAATCTGTTCTTTAGGATCTGTTGTCTCAGACAAGAGAGAAGCAAGCAGCTACATTATCTGAGGTGTCTTGGCGAGGGCGTACTGTCCCAGTCAAAGTTGAAGCTGTTCGACTGTTCTTGCTGAACTTGCAGGACCTGAACTCGGAACTGGAAGCCGCCAAGAGCTTTGACAGTAAAACGTCCATCTACGAGAGCATCCTGAAACAGTGCATTGATGCTCAGCAGGCTCTTCGGGATGCTTTACAAGAAGATAATGTAGGCTGCAAGTTTGTGTCCGTAATCATCCTTAGCTGTTCCTGCCTGGGTTCCAGGGCTCCCCTCTTTGGGAGAAGGAAGAATAAGACACCCCAACACCCAAAAAAAATAGGTGACTAATTAGGGTGTTTCTTTCAAAGTCAAGAGTGTGTCTGCATGAAAGGGCGGGGAACCAACAATCTGCATACAAATAAGCCAGATCTGTAAATCTGATGTACACGCAAAACTGAGGTTCTGGAATAAGACCAGAATTCAGGAGCGAGTGAACAGCCAGAAGTTTCTGGCTGGCAGAGTTTACAGCTGGTGAACACTAAGATAGAACCTTTTATCTCCCTGGTCACCTGAAGAGGTAACAGAGTAAGTGAAGAAGAAACACACTAAGACAGAACCTTTTATCTCCCTGGTCACCTGAAGAGGTAACAGAGTCAGTGAAGAAGAAAAAACATTAAGACAGAACCTTTCATCTCCCTGGTCACCGGAAGAGGTAACAGAGTCAGTGAAGAAGACAGAACCTTATATCTCCCTGGTCACCTGAAGAGGTAACAGAGTCAGTGAAGAAGACAGAACCTTATATCTCCCTGGTCACCTGAAGAGGTAACAGAGTCAGTGAAGAAGACAGAACCTTATATCTCCCTGGTCACCTGAAGAGGTAACAGAGTCAGTGAAGAAGAAACACACTAAGACAGAACCTTATATCTCCCTGGTCACCTGAAGAGGTAACAGAGTCAGTGAAGAAGAAAAAACATTAAGACAGAACCTTTTATCTCCCTGGTCACCTGAAGAGGTAACAGAGTCAGTGAAGAAGAAAAAACATTAAGACAGAACCTTTTATCTCCCTGGTCACCTGAAGAGGTAACAGAGTCAGTGAAGAAGACAGAACCTTATATCTCCCTGGTCACCTGAAGAGGTAACAGAGTCAGTGAAGAAGACAGAACCTTATATCTCCCTGGTCACCTGAAGAGGTAACAGAGTCAGTGAAGAAGAAACACACTAAGACAGAACCTTATATCTCCCTGGTCACCTGAAGAGGTAACAGAGTCAGTGAAGAAGAAAAAACATTAAGACAGAACCTTTTATCTCCCTGGTCACCTGAAGAGGTAACAGAGTCAGTGAAGAAGAAACACACTAAGACAGAACCTTTTATCTCCCTGGTCACCTGAAGAGGTAACAGAGTCAGTGAAGAAGAAAAAACACTAAGAAGAAAAAGAAATAGTCATTTTGCAACAACAACAAAATTGACATTCCCTAGTATCATGTACTTTAAATCATCCTCTTGTTTATCAATATTTTGTTTCATTTATTTACACTGTATCCAAATACAGTAGTGTAATTGTTTCAGGGTCAGATCATTGTTTTTGTGTCATGTTGCTCATTGTTGTTCTGCTAATGGAAGCTAGTGGTAGCAGCTTCCTTTTGCTGACTATAATTGGTTCGGTAAAGCTGACATATAAAAGTAAAGGACCCTTCTTCACGCCTTCATGTTTATTGGGCATATAGGGCTAGACCTATATTTTATAGATCAATCGGCACTTGATAGGTAATATGGTCAGCATCATGCTTGCCGCCTTACTTCTCAGGACTGTACCTGATACCCACGAAAAGCTGACATGCACTTTTATATTTTTCAATTTTTTTCTACTTTTCATTGAATGTTTGAGTTTGCGTTGCAGACTTTTTGTGTGTGTTAAACTGAAGATAGTGAGACTGTCTTATTCTGTGACTGCTAGACATTGGTTTGGTCACTCTTTTATGTGGCTGCCGAGAAAATCACATTGCTTGGGTGTTAGCCTAAACCATTACCTGGCTGCAGGCTTTTTGTAATCAGACTGCTTTGTGTTGACTTAAAGGGTACTATCAAGAGCCAACTGTTCAGGACAGTGGCAGACTACTGAATGTAAACTTGCCTAGTAAAACCAAACAGTCAGTAAAAACTAGGGTTGGTTCTGCAACGTCCTAGTAAGAATATGCAGCTAACTTTTATTTAGGTGTTAAAATGAGTTGGTTTCTTCAGAGTTGCATTCTCAGCTGATGTCAGTCCCCTTTATTACATACATTTCTTGGTTCTGTGGCAGCTTTAATTTTGGTAGTGACAGTTTCTGCATTGAAGACAGTAGATACTCTCATGTTGGCCAGAAAAAGAAAAAAAAAACGCTTCGAGGATAGGCTAAAGTATCACAGTACAAACCTTCTGTATAAACCCTGAAACTTGGGAGGCTGCTGCATAAGACCGGACTACATGGCAAATGTCTGTTCGAAGAGGTACAGTGACTTGTGAAGCATCTAGAGAAAAAGGTAGCTGGACAGCAAAGACAGTCTAGAAAGACCTGTATAAGAGGCGTTTTATCTACATGTACTATTCCCTGTCCTAATTGTTTTGGATCCTTCTGGACAGTCAACTATAGTTTTATGGGGGATGAAAGAAAGAATGATCTTCATTACCTGTGATGGATGAACAGCAAGTATACAAAGCTGTATTGCTGACATTCTAGGCATTCACAGCTGTATTGTTAACACTTTAGGTATTCAGAGCTGAATGTTAACATTCTAGTTATTCAAAGCTGCATTGCTGTCATTCTAGGCATTCACAGCTGTATTGTTAACATTTTAGGTATTCAGAGCTGAATGGTCAACAATCTGAGTATTCAGAGCTGCAATGTCAACTTCTAGTACGGGGCGGCGCAGGTCGACCCAGACTAAAATGGCTACCAGGATGGCTGTCCTGGGGAAGTAAAGATGGCCGGCGTAATGCTGACCACATTACCCACCTAGTGCCGATGGTCTATAAAAAGTATGGGCGCTCTTCCCATAAGCCTGATACGCCTAAAAGGCGTGAAAAGGAATCTTTACTTTTTTTTCCCTATGTCAACATCTACGTACACAATAACATTCTAGGTATTCAAAGCTGCAGTTCGTGGTCAACCAGTTGAGGGGAAAATTTCCAACCAGCACTACCTACACTCCTACCTTATGTACATCCGCTTGAGCACAACCATAGAGAGGAACCTCCTGATGGTTGACAACCTGAAGCAGAATCTTCCAGAGAACAACCCAGAAGAGGGACGTAAGATCACCAAACCTCAGGATTTGGTCCGCCTTTATGACATCATTATACAGGTTAGTTTTATTCCAGGAATTGCTGCCTATATGGTATTTACTTACCGGTTAGTTACATCCGGATTTGACCTGCCTTTATGGCATTTTACCTCAGGACTTGACCTGCCTTTATGGCAATATCATACAGGTTAGTTACCAGAGGATTTGATTTGCCTTTATGACATCATACAGGTTAGTTACCAGAGGGTTTGATTTACCTTTATGACATCATACAGGTTAGTTACCAGAGGATTTGATTTGCCTTTATGACATCATCATACCAGTAAGTTATAACATATTGTTGAGTTCTGCCTACCCAGATCAGTTTGTAAAACTCCACATCAATGGATGTTAGAATGTTGGACTGAGTGGGTTTCGGGGCCCCATCTGGAGAAAACAGACTCGACCCCCTGCCACCTAAACAGGCATGTTAAAAATGGCGACTTGTTAGTGGTATTTCCTTTGAGGTCAGAGTTAATTTGTCTGAGAGATGAAGAACCCACCAGTCTGCATGCAAATAAGCTAGATCTGTACAGTGGATGTGCATGCAAAACTCTAGCTCTGAAACAAGACTAATGCCTAGAGGTGAATGAACAACCAGAGCTTTCTGCTGGAGTATATAGCTGGTGAATGTGAGGAAAAAGTGGAAGAGGAACCTTTGAACATTAGGCTTGCAGGCAAATGTGCTAGCCACTGCTTCACTGCAGCTCCCAAAAAATGTATTGTTTGTGTATGTGTTGACTTCTTCAGCTTTGCGGTTTTGAATGTGGATTATTATTCCAAAAAACCTATTTTGATTCAGCTGCAGGTTGTTTGGCAGCAGACTGCTTTGCTCTGAGTTTGACAGTGGTATAGAAAACTGAATGTTCTGTTGCAATGGCAGTTACTAAACGTAAAATTGTCTGATAAAACCTCGATCATCCAACAGATGCTGTGGTTGGTTTGCAATATCTTTAAAATGATATGCAACTCATCTATTTATATTTTTTCCCACATACAACAGCGGAGGTACGCACCCACCGCCTCCAACCTCCTTTGTGGAGACATCGCAAAATTTATTATAAATTATTATTTGTATTGTTTTCCTCTCTTTCAGAATTTAAATGAGATACCTCACCTTCACGGAATACAGGGCGACACAGAGCTAGAGACTGAGACAGAGACAACTGTTCTAGGGTACAAGGCTTTTAGGTATGTCTCACCTGTGCATTAGTCTCTGGGTACTCACATTTGATTAACTTTTAAGTATGTCTCACCTGTGCAGGTTGTCACTGGGTAATTATTGCAGTGCAAGGAAGGGGGGGGGGGGGGGGGTAATGAGATAGGGTATTCAACCTGAAGATCTAGGTTTGTATGTGCTTTCACCATGAACTGTAGTTTAAGAATTAATTTTAACACACCCAAAATTCCACCATTTTACTGAGGATTCAAACATGGGTCTCCCATAAACGCTCAGTCCCCATCTTATTTTGGGGGTTCTTTGCAAAAGCCAAACATCGACATCATAGGATACATCTACCTTAAGAATTGTGGTAAAAGCGGTCACTGCATTTTTACCCTGGCTGGAGAACATGACACATACACACACAACGTAATTGTAACTGACTCACAAACAATGTTGAGGAAGGTGAGGACAGGCATGCTTCATGCAGAGTGGCATGCTTCGCTTTGGAGGTCACAGGTGAGGAGCATTGTCCGGATCTTTTCTCTGGGGCATGCTAGTGTCTTTGGAAATGGAAAGACAGACTGGCTGGCTCTGCAAAACCTGGTTCTGACGTGAAATGGATGTGCTTGCAAAACACAAGTTCTGGAACACGACGAAAGTCTAGAAGTGAACAGAAATTCGAAGAAGAAAAAGAAGACATGTATGTTATAACAATTGTAACTTCAAAATAATTTTTGTGTGTGCATGCAGGCTTATCTTTTTAAAAATTATTTATTTAATGTCTTTTTCTCTCTGCAGATCTTTTTATATTGCTCGGTCATTTGCCAGTGCTAAAAAATGGAAGGAAACTGTAGCTCTCTACCAGAGGGCATTAGACAACTGCAACAAAGCTTTAGACGGACTGAAAAAGTTGCCACAGACTCCAAAATTATTGGTAAGAAAGTAGTTGGGTAACAATTACATTCTTTTGAGTGTAAATCAAATTTTGGTTTCGTAAGAAAAAAAAAGGACCACACTCATGGCATTCGAACACTGATGCTTTCTTCTTCTTCTTCTTCTTTTTCTTCTTCTTCTTCTTCTTCTTCTTTCATTTGCATGAAATAAATTGTCTTCCATGTACATTTCATTGTCACTGTTAGCTCATTCATTGGTTTGTGGTGTGTACTTTCCACTGTTCTTGTTTGACAAAAGGTTTGGCTTAATGTGTTTTGTTGGATGCAGTCTTGGAGTATGTGTTTTGCTGTGTGGGGTGACATGTGGGGTACACATGGCTGATACACCTGTCTTAAATTTCACATACATGTTCTCTGACTTTTAAAGAAACACCTCCCAATTAGTTGACTTTTGCAGCTTGCCTACTAGGGTGGGGGCAGGGGTCTGTTCTTTTTTCTTCCACAAATAAACCACAGAACCAACACAAGGAACACCACCTAGCTAATGCTAATTGGTCTATACAACCACGAGTCCACAAACATTATCTGCTGCCTTGAAAGGATCCTTTTTTTTTTAACATCTACAAAACTTCCTGATATCTGGCAAGGTTATAGTAGTGTAGTGACTTGTGACCTGCCTGGTGATTAAATAAGTAGGAACCCCTCTACTGAAGACCGAACAGGCATGATGATGAAAGTCACATGGTCGTTAGTCATCATTAGGCGAGGTTCCAACATCCCTGCTGAAGAGTCGCCCCCTGACTGCTCCATTCCTGTGCCAGGGGAAAACGCACAAAATATTCGTCATTGGCTTGTCACAAAATTAGTCACATGGCAAGGACTTTAACTCTGTCAGTAATATCTCGTAGTTACTTCAACAATTCTAGTCATGGTGGCGCAATATCAGTCACAGGCATGAGAGAAAGTTGAGGCCGTTATGTGTGTGTAAGGTGTTTTTGGATGGTTATGCGGATCCTTTTGCAAGACTTGCAGCACATCCATGTTGTGAGCCAGGGATAAAGCTCACCTTTGTAATCTGAACCGAATTGGCAGAGAATCTTAAAGTTGGTGGCCTCTAGAGATGTAATGTCCAATCTGGCTGAGGTCAGCTTACCCCCAATTCATGGGTGAAAACATCTTTCAAAGCCTTATAGGAACATTGGTGAAGTTTGCTAGCCGATCACACTACTAAATGACAACCCACAGTTAAAATGACTGTTGCTTGGAAAGAACCACTGTACTGTTGAGATTTAGCCCTGTAACATGATATTTTCTCGCAGCCTAGACATTCAACATCTCTTGTGGATGGAAACTCAGGAAACAGAAATGTCTGTACATTCCATGCTGTTCCTCAATGTTGTCAACACCACATTGAGATACACCACAACAATCTGCCACTGTCATTGTGATGGTTTGGCGTAAACATCCATCTGTTACATAACCCGTGACACAGACATAGTCCTAAATGTCAGAATTAAAAAAATTTCTATTTATTGTCAGAAAGGTTCACATGCCCATTACCATTGACTCCACTCGACAGTGTGTGGGACATAAAAAGGGGAGCCATGTCAGATGCATGCTCTTGCCGTACTGTCTCACTATGTTTCCAGATAAAACAACATTAAAGGTGTCAAACGCTCCGAAAAAATGTAACTGTCTGTGTGGTCTTCCAAGTCTGGAACTTGCGGTCTGCTCCCTGCTGAGCTCCAAAGGGCGCAGCCGGTGACAAGGCGAAAGCTTAACACACAGATCTGAGATTAAGCAGTCATGTGCAGGATGTGACGATTCCTTGGATGAGCCCAGGACCAGAGCGTCAAGTGTCGGCTCCGCATTTATGGAAGCCTCCTTGGATGGCGGGGAATGCCCATTATCTGCCCCTGCCTTCCTTTGAGGGCCGACCTGTCTACACATGGATGCCCTGAACGAGGTCTCCAGGGACAACACCTGTAGTTAAGGGGACAAAGAAAACACATCACAGACAAGACCACAACATGTCCCTGTTCCACGAAACTATCCTGGAAGTAAATCTGGTCAACAAATGCTCGACAAAGTCGGATGTGTCTGCCAAAAAAGAAAGCTCAAATATCGCAACTCTGCTGTAAACAGGCACACATTTATGTCACTCGGATGGATAAAAAGAAGATTATAGTCATGGAATTAGACTAAAGTTCTGATAAAATGAGTTAACTAAATAACTGCGATAGAAGAAAGTAAGAAAAGTGAGCTTCCTGTGCTTTTTTTTTTTTTTAAACTAGCTTATGAATGTAGTAATTTTTATGTTAGAGTTACGAAAACTGTTATTAACTCTTAATGTCTGTCTTGTTAATAATGTTGCTTGCATCTTTAAATGTTGTAGAAAAGTGTGACACCTCTGCAAGAGCTTCACCAGCAGATCAGTGGACAGATGTATTCTTGTCAAGCTTTCAGTATACTGGACTCCAGCGCTACAGGGGAGCAGTCATTCTCTACAGCCATCGTTGACAAGCGGGTGAGACATGTTTTTATTTCTGCAACTTTTTGTGTGTGTGTGTAACTGACTTTTGCTCCCAGATCGACCCAGCCTACAATTAGTACTGGGAAATTTTCTTGGAAGTAAAGGCAGCTGGGGTGATGTTGGCTACATCACCCATCAAGTGCCAAATGATCTATAAAATCATGAGTATCATCATATGCCCATTGTGTGACTGGCCTGGAGGCTCCTTAAATTTGATGTATTCCACCCAACTTTTGCGTGTGTTTGTGTGTGTGTGTGGGCGCAGGTAGTCAGGCGGGCATGTGTGTGTCTGCCCCTGAGAATGTTTATGGGGCCCCATTTTGAAAGGAAAGGAATAGATCCGCTGCCCTTATCAAGCATGTCGTAGAGGTCAACTAATTAGGAGTGGTTTCTTTGATGTTGGATGCATCTGTCTGAGACACATAGAACCAACAGTCTGCCTACAAATAAGATAGGTCTGTAAAATGGATGTGCATGCAAAATTCAAGTTCTGGAACAAGACAGAAGTCCAGAAGTGGATGAGCAACTGGAACTTTCTGCTGTAATTTACTGCCGGTCAACATAAGAGGACTTTTATATTATATCTCTCTATCTGGCTAAAGTTTTTCTCTACCCATAATGGTAAAAAAAGAGATTGTGTGGTCTCAAAAGAAGGCTGTAGATAATTGTATACGCACACACTGAACTTTAGGCGGTAGGCCCAGTAAGATGCCTTATGGTGTGTGGAATCTTGGGTTTGCTGTTGCTACCATTGTTCCACGTTGAGGTGGCGAGGTTATAGGTTTAACTAGAAATACTCACAAAAGTTGTATTTTCTTTTCACATTAAAAAAATTATCTTTTATTGCCTGTCTTGTCTCTCTGTCTCAAAGGCTGAAAAAGAAAGGGAGGAGAGGGAGGCGTTGAGAGAGAGAGCAAGATCAATTGAATCATTAGAAATGCAATTGTATGCTGTGTTTTGATGTTTATTTTAAACAAAAATTAGTTTTTTAAAATTGTGAATTCTATTTCTATAGTAATTTTATAATTTTTATTTATAGTTCTGTTTTTGTGTGTGGTTATTTGTACATAAATTATTAGATTCAATGTTTAAATGCTCCTTTGTGTTAAGAATACAAGTACATTGTTGATTGCAGTTTCTTGTCCTCATCCTTGTTGGGCCAGTGTCCTATGACATTTTAATTTGTTTGCATTATTTTATTTTTTATTAACTTTTTGTCTATAGGTTTTATGTAAACTTGAAAGCTCGGTTGTTATTTTTAAAGTGAACTTGTTCAGTCTCTGGAAACTTCATTTTATTTCATATTGACTTTATATAGTTTGCATTGCAATGTTTCTTTCCATTCTACTCAGTTGTGGTATTTTCTTCCATTCTGCTGAATTCTAATATTTTCTTCAATTCTGTTGAATTCTAATATTTTCTTCCATTCTTAACAGCCGCTGGAGGACAGACTTGACGATTATGTTATAGAGAAATCACTGACAACCAAGAAGGCAACATTGACCAGATTCCCACCGGACTTTGAACCCATCCCTTGCCGCCCACTGTTCTTTGATCTTGCCCTGAATCATGTGCAGTTCCCCTCACTGGACGACAAACTTGACCAGCAGAAGAAGGCAGCGGGAGGAGGTGGCGGCCTAACTGGAATCGTCAAAGGATGGCTGTGGGGTGGTGGAAAGAAGTAGATGTCGGAAGTACTGGATACTCCTGGCAGCTTCATTTTACAGTTGAGGCCAAACACAGGTGGAATGGACAGGTGGAAACATATTTAGATGCCCAATGTGTATCTTGTAGATGTCCAGTGAAGAGGTTGGAAATTGATTATTCCATTTGTTGTTGTGGTAAAATTAGGTCATTGCATATGCAATAATTGCGATGATAATATGGTTGATTTGAAACAATAAAACAGTAAGTTTGTTGTGGAGATATCCGCAGACTTTTTTTTTTTTTTAAATTGCAATATTTTTGTTGCTAGCATCCTTTAAAACAAACTTTAACAAATATTGAAGTCCAGGTTTTAAAAATCTACCTCGAGGGGATTCAGTCACCTGTGGCAAGTGTTTGTCATCCTGTCTGTAGTTGGCACGTTTCCATATTTCTAGACAGTGGTGTTAAATGGAGAGGGACTAACAAGACTTGTCTGCATTAAGAACAATGTTCGGTAGAGTATGGGATTTGAGGATCATTGTTGCCAAGCATATATTTAATGTATTTCTTCTCAAGTGCTCAGCTCACAGCCTGTTTACAGTCATTTTTCTCTTTTATCCCTATTGCCTTTCTGATTTCCCCCTTCATGCAGTCTGGTCCGTGGCATCCTTTTGTCCTGCACACAGTATAAAATGTACGGCAGACAGGATGTTGCAGTAGAATCAAACATTTTTTTTTATTAAATAAACATAATATTCAAATGTGTGCACTGGGAGTTTTTTTTTCCCACATAAGTAACATATCCATGACATGCTGAAAGGTTGTTTACTGCACTTTGTAGTTGTGTCTAAGAGTTGTTGTTTTAGTATCTTTTTAACAAACTTTCTTTACTGCTATTTACCACTTTTTAGGGCTGTGTAGGGCAGGTTGAGATGTGGTTTCTGAGACGAAAGTTAAATACCTTGGACGGCCAGAGTAACTAACAACGGTTGTTTGAAAAAAGCTAATGAAAGTATATCTGTATATACAACAATAAGAAAGAGACAAATACTGTTATTTAGCCACCTGATGATGATGATAGTTCAGGGCTGCACGTGGTGAAGCCACCACAGACTGCAGGTCTGGATTGTGTGTGTGCGCGCTCCCCGGAAAAAAAAAACTTATCGCCGTACTGAGTTTTGCGAATGAGAGGCTAATAGTCTTTGCTCTGCTGTCAGCCTCTCCTCTGTTAACAAACACCAATTCTTTTAGTGAATTCTTGCACCGTTTGCATCAGTAACAGAAAACCAAAGGATCTCTTTCATACCATTGACACATATGGCGCTAGACATTGTTATGGACCTATCAGTATGTGATGTGGTTAGCATGACAGCAGCTGTTGCTTCCCAGGACATTTCCTGGTACAATTTTAGCCTATATACAGAAGTAAATAACAGACAGTTGAATGATGAGTGAACCATTATTTGGTATTTGGAAGGGACAGAGATGTGATTTTTTTAAACAAATGATGAGAATACCCTGGACAGATAAAAAGAGAAATGAATATGCCTGGAAGTAACTCTGACTCGAAGAGAAAACTGATTGTCCATGTTTAGAAGGAGGCAATTTGCATTCTTTGATCTAGTCATCAGAAGGATCAGATTGGACTACACCTTGATGGTGAGAAAGTTGGCAGGGAAAAGAGGCAGAGGGAGACCGAAAAGACACTGAACAGTGACATGGCATTGAAGATCATCAGTGTCTGAATTGATCGAAAGTAGACAAGACAAAAAGTTGTGGGTAGGCATGACTACCAATGCCATACGGCATGAACTAATTACTTCTTCTTGCGGGAACATCTGTTTTACAGCTCTGGTTTATTTGTAGCCAGAGTGTTTGTTCCTCACCTCCGACTTTGAAGGGGGAAACCCCCTCCCCCACGCAATTAATAAACTTTTATGACATGCTAGTTTTGGGGACAGGATCTATTCTTTTTCTTCCCAAAACAGGGAGCTGGAACTCACTGCATAGAACACCAGAGAGCCAAGGTCAGTTATTTAAAAAAATTGACTTGATGGGGGTTTTGAGCCCAAGGCAATCAGATCAGCAGCCATGTAAATAGCTCCTGTCCGGTCACGGCTTATATGGTATCTCTCTCAGGGTGACATTGGGATATCAGGAGTAGATAACTCAGAAGCTATAGAATAGCAATAACTCTTCAGGAGTGAGCTCCCTTTATGTCCTCTAAATCGTTGATAGTCTTAAGACTTTTTTATATTGCATGTGATAACACTTTCGGTTTGCAATCATGTTATAAAAGTCAATTAATTTGGATGTTTCCTTTAATTTTGGGGTGTATTGTCTAAGAGGCAAGGAGCTGGCTATCTGCACACAAATAAGCTAGATATGTAAAACAGATGTGCACTCCAATTTGAAAAAAAAATGCCCATAAGCAGTTCCCATTTTTGGTGGGGGCGGGGATCCCCCCCCCCCCCCACCCACAATAGAACCCTGGAACCCACACAGGAAATCAAGTCATTTTATTATTACTAATCCTAGTGTGGGTTCTAGGATCCGCATTTTGAATCAGAGGGGGAAAAAAGAGAACAGGTTCACTGTCCCTTGATAAGCATAAAGTAAAAGATGAATAATAAAGTTTATTAAAAAATCAAATACATTGGGCTAGAACGTTGAAGATATTGAAGCCTGGCTGTAACCAACAACACAGTGTACCCACTACCCTTTTAAGAGTGATTGTAAAAGAAGATTTACGAACTAGGTATATTATTGGGGGGCATTTATCACATTTTAATAATACTTTTAGGAAAGTATTGTTGTTAAATGTGGAAAATGAAGACTTAATTTAACATATACACCATAGCTATTCAACAAGTGGCCAGCAGATCATTAGTAATTGTATTGAATGATCTTTCAAAGCAGGGGCTCAGGCTTCTGGCACGTGACCATTCCTGTTTTCAATATTTTAGCCTCTGAGTAAACTAAACTGAATTGCTGGAGTCATTTTAGTATTACATGCAATCAGTAGACTTTAAAAGAAAACAACTGTTGTGGGTGTATGTGTTAGTGATGAAACCATAGTCAGTGTTTTGTGATGTTCCTACCCTGCATACTTTGTTGTTTTGTACTTATCCATTTTAGTCTTCCTCTGTAGCTTCACATGTAACTTGACAGTGGTAGTCTTCAAGGATCTTTAGTTGATTTGAGTTTGGTGTTTGTGAATAGGTGTTTATGTTTCTGACATTTGAAACATTGTATATCTGTTGAGTTGCTGTTTGAAGACGGTACCTGACCTCTAAACATGGCATATGTTTGACATAACTAGATTGTTAGCCTCCTTGTGTGGGTCATAAGACCTGTGGGGTGGGGGGACCCACTGCTCCTTAACAAGCATGCCGTAAATTCAAAAAATTAAAGATGTGCTGTTGGACCGAAAGCGGCAGATATTGCAGCCTAGCTGTAAATTACAACACAACATCCCAACTCCCCTTGTAAGGGTGAATGTAGAAGAACTAGCTACACGCACAAAATGCATGCCTGTCAGAACGCAGAAGAAAAAAGGGGTTTCAGTAGCAGTTTGACACAATTATGTTGTTAGCTGGTTGTTATTCTTTGCACAGATTTCCAGGTTTATATTTTAAAACATTGCAGTGGACAGTGTGATATTGACCACATCACCCACCGAGCACCAGTTGGTCTACGATAGTGTCATTGCACTGGCGGCCGTCAGAGGCCAAACACATGGCGCACTGATCATTGCCAGTTGTATTCTGTTTATAATCTTTCTAATGCTGGGACTCTGAACTCTGGCCCATTATGATCCCCATTTTCATTCTTTTGGCCCTTGAGGAAACTTAGTTGAATAGAACTGGTCTAAAAAATATGTCTTAGCACTGTGTACCCAATACCATTAGGGGCCTGGAAAAGGGTCCTTTACTTTCCAATTTTACAGTAAAACATAATCTGATATGCATAAGATTTACAATTCTGAGATGAGATGCCGTGGGAAAGCCACCAATTTAACCGTCTGAAGCAAAGTGAGAAAAGATACTATCAGATTGTGTCACATGCACTGAACATCAGAAGCTAAACAATGAATTTGAGGGTAATGGTGGTTAAATTACAAAATATTGTACCCTAATGTGTACGTTGCAGCCTTCGAAATTTGCTGTACAGAATTTTGCTGAGAATTCCTTGGAAAGCTACATTTTAAAAGAAGAATATGGCTCAGTGACTTTGTGGTTGTTTAGCACATTTAACATTCTTTTATGTACCAGGGTTGAACTTCTGTGACAGACAGTTTGAGAAAAAAAAAACTATTAGAAAAGATTATGGTTTATTCTTCTTCTCCTCTGGTCCTATTCTGCCTTTTAGAGTCAAGTTTTGAAGATGCATCATGTGCAAGTCTTGCTGTGTGCTGCGTAGATGCTGGTATTTTACGGCCTTGGGTACTCCCTCCATCTATCCATGGCTTTTGTGCTCAACCTCTGACTCTGCATTTATTATGTCTAGGTGAGAGGGCTCTCTTTGGTGCATTGTCTGGTGGTAGTCTTGTCACATGTCCAAACCATTTGTTTGATCTGTTGTCTCTTGCTGAAGTTTAAAACTGGTTCCATCCCAACTTCTTTCCTGATATCATCATTTCTGATCCTGTCTCTTCTAGTATTAATGTTTCCACCCAGGCAATATTTTCAAAGACAGCAGTGGATGAATATTGTATCTTCTTCTTCTGCGTTCATCATAAAATTTGCATTGTGTCCACTTAACAACATGGCTGTTATATTTGTGCCTTTTGGCTGACACATCTGCTTCTGCAGACATTCATTGGTCATGTAGCCTTCCCTGTTAGTTATCATGGGACTGACACTGCAGGCTCATGTAGTCTCATTGTTGTGTGGTCATCTTTGTTTTCTCGTTCACAGCCAATACGCCCCCCCCCCCCTTTTCCCCCATCCCCCAGGATTACAGTACCATCCTGAAATTAAACAGTCTCAATCTAGAGGGCAAGTCAACAAGACTGATTCCTAATAATCTGTTTAAC